CTGATGCAACGCACAAAGATACATCTGGGGAAACCATGATGATGAAGAGAAGGACGAGGGGGGACATGATAGCAGTGTTCCAATATCTCAGGGACTGCCCCAAAGAAGAGGGAGTCAAGCTATTCTCCAAAGCCCCTGAAGGCAGGACAAGAAGCAATGGATGGAAACTAATTAAAGAGAAGCAATCTACAAATAAGGAGAAATTTTCCGACAGTGAGAACAATTAACCAGCGGAACAACCTGCCTCCAGAAGCGGTGAATGCTCCAACACTGGAAGTTTTTAAGAAGATACTGGACAGCCATTTGTCTGAAACAATGAGTTTCCTCCTTGAGTAGGGGGTTGGACTAGAAGATATCTAAGGTCTCTTCCAACTCTCTTATTCTGTTCAGTATTCCAGTATCTCAGGGGCTGCCACAAGGAAGAGGGAGTCAATCTCTTCTCCAAAGCCCCTGAAGGTTGGGCAAGAAGCAATAGATGGAAACTAACCAAAGAGAGAAGCAACCTAGAACTAAGGAGAAACTTCCTGACAGTTAGAACAATTAACCAGTGGAACAACCTGCCTCCAGAAGCTGTGAATGCTCCAAACACTGGAAGTTTTTAAGAAGAGTCTGGACAGCCATTTGTCTGAAATGGGATAGGCTTTCCTGCCTGAGGAGGGGATTGGACTAGATGACCTCCAAAGGTCCCTTCCAACATCATCATCATCATCATCATCATCATCATCATTATTATTAAGGACTTCCACTCTTTATGTCGGCGTGAATGACAAAGCAGCTTCTCACCTCCTGTAAGCTTGATTTTGGTTTTTTGCAAACTCAGACTATTATGGGTTAAGGTTTATTTGGTAATTAAGGCTCAAGTCTGTCCGTTTTGGTGGCCTTATTAAAAGTCTCAGAAACCAACCCATACCTTAAATAAACAAGCCGGCGTCTTCACGTAACGCATGAATGCAACCCCAGAAAGTTAGAGCTTCAGGTGAGAGTTCAGTTCTCTTTCCGCAGGTTAAAACTTGCAACGGGTCTTTGATCTCCACTCCAGCCTTCTTTGGGGGGAGGTGGGAGGGGGGGGAGAAATCAAATATGATTTTCTTAGCGAAGGCAGCTGGGTTCCCTCACCCCGCCAATTATCCCGTCAGTAAATGTGTTCATGTCTGAACAAATTCTTCTGCTTTCTTCTCTTATCCCTTTAACACAGCGCTTCCCTTTACATGAAGCTCTTGTTCTTCCTCCCCCCCCCCAAGTCCTGTTTAGAAGCTTAGATTTACTGCCGATGAAGCTTACTAGAGTAAAAACGCATCGCGTTTCCTTAGGCGGGTCATCTCGCAGGACCCTTCCCGGTTTTACGATCCTTTTATTATTTTTTTGGCAGCAGTTGCTAAGCAAACGTGGTGGTCATAAAGTGAAGCAGGGGTGGTTAAATGAACATTGTGGTTAAGAAACTCACTGTCCTGCAGCGTCCGGGTTGTTGTTGTTTTTTGCTGCAAATAGGAAGCAAACCCCAGTTCTTGGCAAAATAATAATAATAATAATAATAATAATAATAATAATAATAATAATAATAATAATAATAATAATAATAATAATAATAATAATAATAATAATAATAATATCATCCAGGTAACATCATCTGTGCTAGAAAGGAGGAGGAGGAGGAGGAGGAGGAGGAGGAGGAGGAGGAGGAGGAGGAGGAGGAATTGGGATCACGTGACCAGGGGATGCTACAAAGGCTGTAAATGTGGGCCGGTTACCGGATTCCCAAAATGTGATCACATTTGGTTACCACGATGTAAAAAAGATGTTGACACTCTAGAAAGACTGCAGAGAAGAGCAACAAAGATGATTAGGGGACTGGAGGTAAAACATACAAGGAACGGTTGCTGGAATTGGGTCTGTCTAGTTTAATGAAGAGAAGGACGAGGGGGGACAGGATAGCAGTGTTCCAGTATCTCAGGGGCTGCCCCAAAGAAGAGGGAGTCAAGCTATTCTCCAAAGCCCCTGAAGGCAGGACAAGAAGCAACGGATGGAAACTAATCAAGGAGAGAAGCAACCTAGAACTAAGGAGAAACTTCCTGACAGTTAGAACAATTAACCAGTGGAACAACCTGCCTCCAGAAGCGGTGAATGCTCCAACACTGGAAGTTTTTAAGAAGAGACTGGACAGCCATTTGTCTGAAATGGTATAGGGTTTCCTGCCTGAGCAGGGGGTTGGACTAGAAGACCTCCAAGGTCCCTTCCAACTTTATTATTATAAGTTTGAACCAGTTTCCAAGCGTCTGAATTTGAATCACGTGATCACAGGGATGCTGCCCAGGTAGTAACAGCGAAAAATGGTCCTAAGTCCCATTTTTCAGTTGCCGTTGTCGCTTTGAACAGCCACTAAGCGAAGTGTTGTGAGTTGTGGACCGCCTGTAACCCATTTTATATTTCAACCTTTCTTTGACCTGGTCCTTGAAACACTTGGAGAGCCCGGCCGTCGATAAAGAGAAGAAATAATAGCATCACCCATGAAATGTGATGTATCCTGTTGTGGGCGTTGTGGTGCATTATTTTTTTTTTTTGTCTTGAGTGATACAAGTTTAACGGAGCAAGGAAAACGCAGGGCACCTGTTTCTTCTCCCAAGCCGTAATCTGCAGCTTAGGATGGTCCTTAAAGCAATGAATTTGTGACAGGCCTTTTCCCTTTTTTTCTCCCTAGCTAAATGTGTCACTTCCCTTCCTTTTCTCTTTATGAAAAACTACACCGACGGGAGGCCGTTTCCTCTGAAACTACAGATCCTTTCAGAAGGAGACAGTAATTGATTTCTAAGCCCGCGGACGGTTAAAAGGCCTTATTCAGGAACTTTCTGACTTTAGGAAATCTTTTTGACCTCAGCTTGTCTTGGCCAAGAAATCCGTGTATTTTGGCCAAGAAAAAAATTTGCATCGGTTTGAAGATTGGAGAAACCTATTCTGGGACGGTTTCCCCAAATCTAGTGACTTTGGTTGCTTGGGAGGTCAACTCCCATCATCCCCAGCAGAGAGGGAGGGGCTGTGGCAAGAGAACACAATAGCCCACTTCAGCCAAAAACAGACCATTCCCACATTTGATCCATCGTGTAGAACCGTACAGGTAGTTCTTGATTTATGACGAACAGTTGAGACCGGAACGTCCATCCCTAAGCAGTTATTCAGTCAGGTGTGCCTAATTTTATGACATCAAATGCCGTGGTCATTAAACGAATCCGGCTTTCCCCTTGGACTTAGCTGATCAGAGGATTGCAGAAGGGGATCATGTGAATCCAGGACACCGCAACCATCATAAATATGAGTCAGTTGCCAAGCGTCTGAATTTTGATCACCTGATGCTGCAAAATGGTGAAATGTGAAAAAGGGTCATCAGTCACTTTTTTTCAGATGTTGTAACTTTGAATGGTCACTAAAGGAACTGATGTAAGTCGAGGACTACCCGTACAATGGATTGGAACAGGGGAAGCCCAGGGTCACTTTTCCACTTAATAATGATGATGGTGATGATGATAATGATAATGATGATGATGATGATGATAATGTTGGAAGGGACCTTGGAGGTCATCGAGTCCAACCCACTGCTCAGGCAGGAAACCCTATACCATTTCAGACAAGTGGATGTCCAGTCTCTTCTTAAAAACCTCCAGTAATGGAGCACCCACAGCTTCTGGAGGCAGGTTGTTCCACTGGTTAATTGTTCTAACTGTCAGGAAATTTCTCCTTAGTTCTAGGTTGCTTCTCTTTTTGATGAGTTTCTATCCCATGCTTCTTGTCCTTCCTTCAGGCACTTTGGAGAATAGCTTGGCTCCCTCTTCTTTGTGGCAGTTCATGTAGGAATTTCGAGGAACCTATTCTTCTTCAGTGGATTATGGGTGTGAGATACCCCATCCCACAGCTTCTCCCCACCCACCCCCAGCTGCCAACCTCCAAAGAAAGATCAAGACTTCCTGAGTCTTCCCGAGGCAGGGGGGTTGGACTAGAAGACCTCCAAGGTCCCTTTCGACTCTCGGTCCTTCTCTATTCTGAATCTCTCCCCTGCCTGCCTGTGAATCACTCTGAGGCCGTCTGCTGATACGATAACTTTTCAGGAATAAAGATAATGGCTTTAGGTTTAAATTTATGACCGGGTGTTTCCTAAAATTAAGCCTTGAGTGGATTTTGGAACTGCTGGACAGGAAATAAGCTAATAATGGGATTTTTGCAAGTTTTCCCATATATGGGAGTAAAAATTGCCATAGGTTACAGGCTGACCTCCCTCTGTTTGGGTGAATCTTTTTCAAAACGTCTTTGTTCTCCTCGACCGTGGGACACCCAGAGAGAGAAAAACATGCTGCTGTACAGCCAGGCTGTGGTGTCATTGTGAAGGTCACTTTCACATTTTTGTTTATTCACGGGTGTTGCGTCAGGACACAACTCAACGGCAGTGTTTTTGAGACCAATTTGTCAGCGGATGCAGTTGGTTTAGCCCTCACTCTTTCATCTTCCAACAATACACACAACTGCGTTGGCAGATGCGCTGGCAATATTGGGGGAAAAATTCTCCCTTAGCTCTTTTTTCACATTTGTCTCTCCTTTTCTTTTCTTTTCTTTTTTTTCTTTTTTTAAAAAAAATCTTATTCAGAAGATTAAAATACCCAATCCAAAAGAGAAAAGGTCGCAAAAGCGGATCACGTGACCCTGGGACGCTGCAACTGTCATAAATACCAGTCAGTTGCCGAGCATCTGAATTTTGATCAGGTGACCCTGGGGACGGTGCAAAGGTCGTACGGATGAAAAACCTATGTCCCTTTTTTCAGTGCCGTTGCAACTTCAAATGGACACTAAATAGACCGTTGTAAGTCGAGGACTACCCGAATAACCTTGTACTAATAAAAAAAATAGAAATGGAATTGGTTGTGTTTGTTTGATGGACTGCCCTTGAAGGGTCAACATGGCTCAACACAACGTTCACCTACCACGCTAAACCACTGCCTCTTCTTTTTCTCTCTTTGCAGTGACATATTTGACGCCATGTTCCCTGTCACCCACATTGCTGGAGAGATTGTGATCCAACAAGGTGAGCTTCATGCGTTGACAGCATGCGGTCAGTGTTGTCCTTGCTCAGATCATGCATCATTTACAGAATCTATGCACACCTTGACTCCTTCAAGGGAGGCAAATAAATCCATGTTTAAGTCTCTTCTGCAAAGTCCGCATCTATGGGTGCTGGGTCCCAAAGACTACATTTTATTGAGCAGAAGCTGGAAGGTGGGCACCAAGTCTTTCCTTCGTATCTCCTCACTAGCCATCTCCAAACCCTGGACGTTTCCATTATAGAAACTATACGGGACATTGGATCCAAAGGTCAGGAGAACCTTGGAAGGGTGAAGAGAGGCGCAGAGCAACAGCATTTGTATACCGCTTCACGGTGCTTTACAGCCCTCTCTAAGCGGTTTACAGAGTCAGCCTTTCGCCCTCAACAATCTGGGGTCCTCATTTTACCGACCTGGGAAGAATGGAAGGCTGAGTCGACCTTGAGCCTGTCAGGATTGAACTCCTGGCTGTGGGTAGAGGTAGCCTGCAATTGCCCAGTTTTATAGATCTACAGTTGACGAACGTCAACTCTCTTCAATCTTGGTCTGGTTTCCTATCGTGAACAGGAGACTGGACTTAATAACAGAAACAGTCCCTTCCTACTTAGCATTCTCTGATCAAGTATTTCCAAAGCTGGTACAAAATCACACTCTGAGTTGACGGGCTTTGATTTGTATTTCTGTTCCCCCGTAGGTGACGAAGGTGACAACTTCTACGTGATTGATCATGGGGAGGTGTATGTAAGTTGCAACTGGCTTCTTTGAAAGATTTTCTTTTCCTTGTCTTCCTTTTTTATAGAAATGTATTGATGTTCTGGCTAAGATATCAGCCAGGGAACTTCTGACTCCTCCTTACTGGTGACCTACAGAGGGAAGGAATGTGTGAACCCTATTCAGACATTGCTCTGAGCCCTGATGTGATTGGTTTGGTGTCAGATTAATTATTCCAGGCACTGAGTGGTTGCAAGTCAGGTTTATGAAGAACATTCCTGTGTGTTTCACTACGCTGGTGTATTGCCAAGTGCGAAAAATCAGGTCCATATATTAAATTCCAGTTAAGCTGATTTATTGTTCATGCTATACAGAAGAATTGGGTATGTCTAGTTTAATGAAGAGAAGGACGAGAGGGGACATGATAGCAGTCTTCCAATATCTCAGGGGCTGCCCCAAAGAAGAGGGAGTCAAGCTATTCTCCAAAGCACCTGAAGGCAGGACAAGAAGCAACGGGTGGACACTAACCAAGGAGAGAAGCAACCTAGAACTAAGGAGAAATTTCCTGACAGTCAGAACAATTAACCAGTGGAACAACCTGCCTCCAGAAATGGTGAATGCTCCAACATTGGAAGTTTTTAAGAAGAGATTGGACAGCCATTTGTCTGAAATAGTATAGGGTTTCCTGCCTGAACAGGGGGTTGGACTAGATGACCTCCAAGATCCCTTCCAACTCTGTCTATTCTATTCTATTCTATTCTATTCTATTCTATTCTATTCTATTCTATTCTATTCATTTTTTTCTATTCCATATTCTATTCTATTCTATTCTATTCTATTCTATTCTATTCTATTCTATTCTATTCTACTCTATTCTATTCTATTCCATTCCATTCCATTCCATTCTATTCTTCCCATGAATTGCCATCAGGAGCCAAACTTATTTGTCCGCATAAAGTCGCTTAATGGCGTATCATCAGCCAACAAATTATTTTAGGTTTAAAGCCTCAGAGTAACCAGGCCTGCAGGCCATGCAGTTTACCACTAAACAATCTCAAGATGGAAGGTGATCAAGTTGGAATGTGCCCGAAGCGTTGGGTGTTTTTTTTGCTAATCATTTAGGATTAGGTCATCTCTCTCTCTCTCCCTCTGTCTCATGCCTTCCGTAAAGAGTAAGTAAGAAGCCTCGGGCAAGTGATTTTCATCTTCAGAAGATTCAATTTGCTTTTCCAAACTTGCTCTGAAGGGTTGGAACCTTGCAAGTGGTGACACCTGAAGATGACGGCTTCCCTCTGGACTGCTCGGGTGGGCCTGGAAGCGGGACTTCAAGAATTTTTGAGGAAAAGGATGGCAGGGCTGGGAACAAAATGCATTATTTAAAAGGAGTTTGGGTGTTGTATCTAACAAAGTTTGGAACTGGGAGATGAACAGAAAAAGAGATTTCTGAAGGTGGAGGCTACAGGCAGTCCTCAACTTATTATTCTATTCTATTCTATGCTATGCTATGCTATGCTATGCTATGCTATGCTATGCTATGCTATGCTATTCTCCATTGCTTCTATTCTATTCTATTCTATTCTATTCTATTCTATGCCATGCCATGCCATGCCATTCTATGCTATGCTATTCTATTCTATTCTATTCTATTCTATTCTATTCTATTCTATTCTATTCTATTCTATTCTATTCTATTCTATTCTATTCTATTCTATTCTCCATTGCTTCTATTCTATTCTATTCTATTCTATTCTATTCTATTCTATTCTATTCTATTCTATTTTATTCTATCCTATTCTATTCTATTCTATTCTATTCTATTCTATTCTATTCTATTCTATTCTATTCCATTCCATTCCATTCCATTCTCATTCCTTGATATTTTCTTTGGAATTATTCTTTTCTTTGATGGTGGTGAGAAGATGATGAGACGGATCATTCTGTGGCTTCCTAGATCGTATCAAAATAAAGTTTGACAGTCCTTTCCCACCCAAGTTCTATTTTAAGAACCAGCTAGCGTATTTTAAGCCACCCAGCAGCGCCTTGCAGCTATTTAGGGAGACACAGTCTCTTTTTATGGCCAGCCCTGGGTGGGTCAGGAGGTCATCTAATTAAGCATTGTTGGGCATTGAAAGCCTGTCCCAAAGTCACCGTCTCCTCAAGAAATCCGACTGACTCATTCTTCCGACTGGGGGAAGTGAGGAGGTCTCCATTTGAAGCCTGCCACATCTGCAGGGCGAACGAGGATGGAGACGAAACACGGGTTGAGCATCATTGCAAGGAGGGCGATGAAGATAGCTCTAAGGTGGGCCCTTGTTTCTGGTTTTCAACTCTTAACCAGGCAGTTTTTTTAAAAACTGGGTCACATCCAGTTTTCAGCTTCTGGCCACGATTTGTTAAGGGACACCCTTCAGTTGTGAGTGACTCACACGGTCCTTAAATTAATCCATCTTTCCCAATTGTCTTTGTTGCCGGGAAGATTGCAAACAGCATCCCGGCGGCTGTTAAGTTAGAAACAACAGTTGTTAAGTGAATCTGGCTTGTCAGAAGGTCGCAAAAAGGAATCCCATGACTCCGGGACACGGCAACGGTCATAAATATGAGTCAGTTTGCCAGTCGTCTGAATTTTGTTTTTTGTTTTTTTTAAAATATGTTTTATTAACAACTAAATTTCATTTTTGATGTGTGCCGTTGTGCCCACAGTAAAAAAATGACAATAAATAGAGGTTATCTTATCTTAATTTTTTAAACATAATCACCTTAATATTCGGTGGACAGTGCGTTGTCTGGGTTTACATTTAGCAAACATTCACTAACAATTAGGTTCTATAATCTATAATAATCCCCATAATAACTTTACATGATTTCCTCTTTTCCCCATAGTGAACCTTAAGTTAATGCAATTCTTATTGTTTTAAATAAATGACAATTAAGTATAAGGATTTCCTAGCATTTCTACAAGTAATAATCACAACAACATAGTGTTCCATTTCTATCTAGTCATTCTGGTTGTCTCATCCTACGCCCTGTTTACAGCTCTTGTTTACCTTTGTTTTTCCCACAGTGTTTTAAACCTTTTTACTGGTTAAGATTTTCTCAGAGTTAATTACATTTAAATCTATTTTTTTTTCTCCTGTAAACCAACCCAATACTTTTACTTTTCTGAATTTTGATGCTGCAAGAGTTGTAAGTGTAAAAACCGGTTCTAAGTCATTTTTTTCCAGTGCGGTTGTAACGAACTTGTGTATCCATGTTCGTTAAGCGAAGCATCCATTAAGGTCACAGGCCCAGCCTGTTGGGGCAGGCTTACAAGGCAACTTCTGAGATTGTGAAAAAACAACGCTGCTTTTAGCCGGCTATCGACTCTCACCCACTATCTCTCCAAAATATTTTTTCTCTCAAAACAAAGCCATCCCAGGTCTCTGTTTTGAACACTTGAGCTGACCACCGCTTCGGTTTGTGTGGTTTTTTTTTGCTAAAGCAGAAGAGGTAAAAAAACAACAACAGAAAAAGAACAACAGCCATCAGCGAGGCTTGTCCAATTAAAATAACCACCCGGTGGGGTTTATATTTAGAACGACGGATTAGGCATTTTATTTTGATTTATATTTTCTTTGGCCCGTCCCAAACCCACACTTTGGAGCTGCGACTTTCAACCTTTTTCTTTCTTTCTTTCTTTCTTTTCTTTTCTTTTTTTTTTTTAAAGGGAAGCCTGTTATTTCTATTTTGACCCAAAATGTTTTTGGGCAGGCTGCCCTGTTTCCACAGCTACCGAAGCTGTCGCCTGACCACGAAAACGGAACAGATCTCCTATCTGCTGGAACCGTATTCCATATTTGGAGTTTCTGACTCAGGAATAACAAGCCAGGTCTTGTTACAGCTCACGGATCAGACCATAACTCCAGCGGGGCCGATTTCAAGAGGAAGCAAATGGAACAGCGAGCTGTTTTTATTGATCAGAGACAATTCACATTTCATAAGGAGAAGCTGTCTCCATTTCTTAACAGATCAGGGCTGGGAGATCTGGGGGGGAGATCAGGGGGCATGCGGCTCCTGACCCCTTTTCTCCACGCCTCACATTGCTTCAAGATTGGGCAGCGAAACACTGAGGACTAGCAGCCCAGCTGACAGAATTCAGGCTTTCAAGCAACCGAAAAGGCAGCTCTCCCTTAATTTCTTCTCGGTTTCTTTCCGTTCTTTCCATTTCCATAACAGCGCCTCGCTTTGCGACGAAAATTCCCCATGGGAATTTTCCTTGCGGGATCACACGACCCCCTGGGACGCTGCAAACCGTCGTAAATGTGAACCCCGGTCGCACAAACGTCTGAACTTAGATTAGGTGACCCTGGGGTGTGTGTGTGTGTGTGCTGCAGTGTACCTAAGCGTGGAAAAACAGTCACAGGTCCCTTTGTTCAGTGCCGTTGTAACTTTGAACGGTCACTAAATGAATAAGTCGAGGACCGCCTGTATGATTCCTGCAACGGTTACTGAATGGCTAGTTGCTGGCCAGAGAAAGGGAGACGGGTGAACTGGGAGCTGTGGGGAAGAGAGCCGTGACTCATATCAAAAGCGATGGAAAACAATAGAAGCCCAGAATGTTTTTGATCTTTGCAAAGCTGAAGGCTTTTGCCAGAATCATAACTCTTCATATTTGGGTATCTCCAGCTCTGCATTCCTTTGCAGCCGACATGAAAGTGAGAGAGGGAAGGAGGGGAGGAGGGAGGGGAGGGGGGGGGAGAAAGTCAGATCTTTGGCTACTGTGTAGATGGGCTCCGCCGCTCCAGCCATGGAAAAGGAATTTTGGCTTGTTTTTAACCCACGTTTGCAGAGTCCCGTGGATAGATGATACCTGGGCTGAGCTGACCTATTAACTCAGGGTTTGAAGTTCTGGTCTGAAATGGTCCCTTGATCTTTCCTCGGCAGATCCCCACCGACAAGATAAAACTGGGGGTCTTTATTTGATTTCCTTCTTCATCTTCTCATGATATTTTTTCTCAGCTTCCAGTCTTTGATCATGTCGTGGTGACTGTGTTGTTAACAGACATGCACGCCTTCCTTCCTTCCTTCCTTCCTTCCTTCCTTCCTTCCTTCCTTCCTTCCTTCCTTCCCTCCCTCCCTCCCTCCCTCCCTCCTTTCTTTCTTTCTTTCTTTCTTTCTTTCTTTTT